TGTTTCACTATTTATCAACTTATTTTACACAAATAATGAAATTTAATTTATGATGTGCAAGTAGAATGAATTTAAAACGATTAAAAATATTCTTACACACATTAAGAATTCTATTCTTTTTTTTTCAGCGTAAGTATATAATTAATAGCAATGATTTTTTTCATTTAATTTGTTTTCATAATTTTATGGTGACTACAAACGCAGCACAACAAGTTCCAGTTTCTAAGTCATCAAATATTAAAATAATATGTTAAAAGAGAAATTCAAAGTACATTGATAATATTTAACTTTTATATAAATAGTTCATAAAAAATAAAATCGGTAGGAAATATGACCTATTTAAATGAACGTAATTTCTATTTTAATTGTTTTATTATAAAGGATGATTATATTGTTCAAAAGTCATAGGAACTATGTAATTAATGATTTATTAATTATTAAGCTAGTTGATATGCAATTATTAAAATGGCGTTGAAATATATTGAAAATTTCAAAATTTTTAATATATTTTATCGATCAATTAAATAGTGTCTATATAAATTAAAGAAGTTTCTTTCTCATGATTCCATATATCTTTTGAAGGTTAAGTTTCACGCGTAATTATTGGGTGTAGTAAGTTATTAAAGTTTACATGGGCATCCGATCGCTTTCCCTTAAATCTTCGTTCTCGTTGAATTTTCGTATTCCATTGTAAAGGAAACTGTGTGTTTCGTACATAATTCTATTAAAGTTTTATAATAGTGTTATAAAACCGCAACCTATATTTTTTATAAATATATTTTATTTTAGATTATTTACATTATTTTGCGATAAGTATTACGATTAAAAATTATTATTTAAAATTAATGTAATATCGGGTATTCATAAGTTCTTTGGCGAACTAAGCATTTAATCGTTAAAATTCACTATTGTAAATTCTATAAATATCATTATGATAATATAATAAAATACTTAGCGCACCAATGTTTTATTAATTTTTATAAATCGTATATAATTCAATTCAGATTATTAAAATTTCAAGTTCAATGTACTTTATAAAGTTCACTTACGATCGTATCTTGAATTTAAATTTAATTATAAGAAACATACATAATAAATTAATTTGAGTATTAAATTTATAATTCATATACAAAGAACTATTTGGTTCCATTAAAGTATTATGACTTACAGAAAGTGGTAGAAAGCCTCTTTTAAAAATTTAAAAATATGCACTTTCTATAAACAAAAAACAATTAGCTTCATTAATAAATTCTTAGCAAATCCTCTTTAATAAAGAGAATCATAAAACTCCTGTGTTAGAAATATCTTTATTTCATAAAAATAATATGTTTAAATTAATTTAAATATTACATTTAGTTCACTATAAAGAGTCTTAATATGAAAATTATATTTACTTGCATAAATTTATTATTACATACTAAACATATTAGGAACTAGCATTCAAAATATAATATATTATGTGAAATTTGAATAGCTGAATATAGTAAAACAGACGTTAAAAATTACAAGTGTAATAATGATTTATCATTAAATGTTGTCAAATGAAGTAGATAAATTGTTATTCACTAACTAACTAAAATTAAATGAAATTTATTCATTCGTTCGGAATTAGATCACGAAAACCATTTACCCACGCTTCATATCATCCTCGTCTCTCCCATAGTACATGAGAAGACGGTGAATCACAGAAGTGCGTGCGAAAGTAACATGCATGTAAGTTCCCGCCTCGTAGGTGCGGAAGTACTAGCGCCAATCGCAACCTGCGACCTGTGTCCATCGTCTCTCCTTTTCTTTCTTACATTCCATGATACACGCACTCAGTCCATGCCCGCGGCTAATTTATCGCGCAGCTGACACGATTCGTGCTGTCGCGAAACTCTCTTCCCCGTCCGCTATTCTTGACTTCATTTTTAGTTTTCTGTCTCTCTTTCTCATCATCTTCGGTAGTGGTAACAGCAACTTTTTCTTCACGTTGTGACGTTACTCGCCTCGCATCTCACTGAATTCCAAAAATTTCTTTCGACCATCGAGTCACTGTAAGCATATTTGATTTGCTGCATTCTATGGTATTGGTAATTTTTCTATCGAAAGTTATCTTAATGAATAATAATTTTATTTATTCAATAGAAGAATATAACTTTTGGTACACTTTACATAAATAATGAAATGTATTTTTGTATAGTAAATATTTTGTTTAAAAAAACTACCATACAAATGTAATTTATATAAAGTACTCACTTATAATACTATCACGACTACTACTCCTATGAATAATAATAACTTCTTTATTATATTATATAAATACTACTACTGCTGCTATGAATAATAACTTATTTATTATATTATACTATTATTTAATAAATTAATTAAATTGCATTATAATGTACCAAATTTAAATATTGTAATATTATTTTAATTAAGTCACACTAAACTTATGTAATTTTATCATATTATGAATAGTAATAATTACATTTTTAAAAGTGGTATGAATGCATCATTGTTTACTTAAAAAAGAAAATATTTCTTTCAAAATTATATCGAAGACTATACAGATAAAATATTATATTAAATAGATTTAAATTAATATTTGAATATAAAACGAATTCATTATTTTCTAATAAGTGTTTTATATATTTACAATAGTGCAATTAATATCATTTTTGAAAATATTATAATTGTATATAAATTATTAATTTTCATATATTTAATAAACTAAAATATATTGAATCCTTGGTTTTTACTCATTATAAATATATTATAAATTTATAATAAAACAATGATTTAATTTTAAATATATATGCATGCATTATACAATTAATATGATGTAGATTTTTGAAATTCAAATGATTAAATTCATTCGATTAAATTAATTGTAAAATTGATATTTATTTATTCGTTTAAAGATATATTTATTTAACTTACAAATATAATAACATGGTAATATAGGAACATATATATTTCTTTAATTTGTTCGGTCTTGTTAACTCCTTACTTAACTCGTAAGTTTAAGAAGTAATATATATAAATTCATATATGGATATATTGAGCTTTGATAGGCCTAGTCACACTTTGTCAAGTTTTATTTAATGATGTAAATTTATTTATAAGTAATACCACATAATTCAAATCATCAGTGTGATATGTAGCATGTGCATATGTGTTTATATATGAAAATTAATTAAAATATTTCACTATTCATTTAATAGAAGAATAGTAAAAGAACAATATATACTTATAGCAATTTTTTAATAATAATTGTTTTATGTTACAAAAGAATAGAAATGAATTAGTAACATTTATTGATTAAACTAATATTATAATATCTTATTTTATTTTACGCGAACGTTAACCTCTATCTTTTATATGTATATATTGTATATATACATATTTTATATCTTTATATTAAAAATCTATAACTTAATAATTGGATAACTGAAATATATTTTAAATTTAATTAATTAACGTTAATCAGTCACGTACATCTAATTTGTTTATGTAGTTTACTATGTAATGTATTAAAAATATTATATTTAATTTTAAAATATTATTTTTTATCTATAATTTGTAAAAATATTTATTAAGAATTTTTCTAAATAAATGTTAAAATCGTTAAGTTTTAAGCACAGTTTATGAAATTCATTTAATTTCAGTTTTGTGATAGGGCAGTGCTACATTATTTTTTTTCTAAATGAGCGCAATGAATATAGTGTGTTTAAACTATTGTCTTATGTATTTCTTATATGCTTTCTAGCTTTATGATTTTATTTATAGAAAAAATTCAATAAAAAAGAAATATATATATATATATATATATATCTTACTAATTGTTGTAATTTCACATTAAAATTAATGTAATTATTTTGATTTATATATTTCGTTTGTAAATGAGTATAATTACGTTAAGATTAAATATTATGTTAAATTTTTTTTCAATAAGTACATAAATAGACGTAAAGATCTTCAGACACTGACTTATGGAGAAATGAATTTAATAAAATTAATCATGTATATTATATTGAATATAATTTTGACACAATTATATATTTTTTATACATATAAAGATTTGTATGATTATTTTATTTAATAATACACATATTGATCTTAGTTAATATTATAAAATTAATGTATATATAAAAAATTAATAAGCACTTACTTATTATAGGATAATAATCATTATTTATATGATACGTTTTATGTCTATTAGATATATCATGAAAACGAGATTTACTCATGTTATTGTCTTAAAATAAATTTCTATACATAATTCATAGAAGTTAGCCAGCTATTAATATTCTTATAGAAAGCAGGATTTTTTTTATATGTGTTTAATGTTCAAATAATGAAGAATTGTTTTACTTTCATTTATAAAATATATGATTTAATACAATCTTTAAAGATTCAAGAATTCGCTTCATAGAATTAAATGATAAGCAAATTGCATCAAACTATTAAAGGGTAAATATAAAATTAAGAATAATATATAAGGAGATAACTTCACTTGCAACGATTCTTACATTGTTTAAAGAATGTATAGAATAATTATAAATGTGAAGTCTACTAGAAAAAAAAACAATCAAAAGGTTTTATTAAATACAAAACCAGTTTTTGCTGTTTTTGAAAAAGTGCCGAAAAAGGAGGGATTGGTTACCTACTGTGAGTGGGGCAAATACTGCACTACATGTGTAGAGAGGAGAGAGTGAGGACGAGAAACAGAGAGAAAGAGAAAGAAAGAGAGAGTACAAGTGAGTGAGGGAGATGAAACCAGAGAGAGAGAGAGAGATAGTGTGTGTGTGTGTGTGTGCGCGCGCGCGCGCGCGTGTGTGCGTGCGTGTGCGTGTGCGTGTGTGTATGTGTATGAGGGACAAAGAAGGAAGAGAGGGACAGCGGTCAAGCCATACTAAGATAAAGAGCACATTCGAAAATTCTGTATATTGTTTCTCTCTCTCTCTCTATCGACCGAACCCACCTCGAGCCGGTATAAATAGTCAGTGACTTACACCTGCGTGCCTGACTCGTTCGTCGCTTGCTCGTCCGAGAAGATAAATACATACGCACATCATCTTCGCCGCACAAGCGACATATACACTCGTCAGTCATGAAGTCCTTTGCCTTTGTTGCCATAATCGCGTTCGCGGTTGCAGCGTCTGCTCAGACCATCGATGAGTGCTTCCGTCAGGACAGCATATCATGTGTTCAAAAAAGCCTGTTCAGAAAAGCCAAGGAATTTTTCGAAAGGGACAGCTTCGATCTTGTCACCGGCATCAGCCTGATAAAAGCCAAGTCCGACAGAAGCTCAAGGAGCGGTAAGGATTTGATGTACGAGCAGGAGATTGATCAGGCCAGCAGTATTACAGAGAGGCAAAGTGCATTGGAGAACTTCGTTGGCGAGGAGGTCACCGACTTTTTCAATGGACGTAGTTTGAGGGTCAGTTTTATGTGGATTGTGATTCATTTTAGATTTTAGTACTTGTGGTGTTAACTTCAATTCAGTGACATTGGAATATGTTGTGCTTTTTTCTTTTCACTTTTAAAATTTCTATCATTCATAATTCCACTTTTAAGTACCAAAAGTACAACGTATTATATTTCAATTTGAAAAGCCATGTTTTATAATAGTTGTCTAAAGTTTAAATCATTGCTTCAAATATTATTAATTTCATTACCTCTGTTTAATTGAATTCTTTATATGCTTATACGTAATATGAATGCAAATCATACGATATCTTTATTATGTAAAGAACTTATTGTCTGATCGAATAAATGGAATAAGTGTTTAACTATTGTAATTAAGTATTTAGTTTATAAAACGATATTTGATATCATTATAAGAGAGTTTCGTTACAACAAATGATAATTGATCAGATTCAATACAATAGATTATATGATGTAATTAAATGTAATCGCATTATATTTAATCGAATTTTGTTATCAAATAACAAAATTTTATATAAAAGAATTTTATAATTTATAATAAGATGAATAATTGTATCTAAATATTTCAAATTTATATTTGTAGATAAACTTCACACCAGCTTTTGAGAAAATTGGTGAATCCGCACGTGCTATTAGTGAATCAATTCCCACGGAACTTAGACAGGCTGCCGATGAAATGGTTGAAGGTAACTTTCTCAAATTTCCTAAACTATCAGAAAATATTATTGCTATCTACTTTTTTAGAATAGCATAAGATTTAATTACATTTCACTATTTTTTATGAAATGATATATAAATTTTAAAATACTATATATATATATATATATACTTTATATATATATATATTAGTTTATTATATACATTAGAATATATATTTAATATATATATATATATATATATATATATATATATATATATATAAAGTCATTGTATTTAGTTTAAATTTTTGTTAAACTTCAATTGTGTCGTTTGAATGTTCGAACCATAATATAAATGAATTTATTACATTTTAAATGATTGTACCAAATCATTTTATCGAAAAGAATTTTAAAATTATTATTATTGTATAATTATTTTATTAATATTGTAATATAAGTTAGATGACATTTGTAGAAATTAAAATGAACAACTCGATACGAATTTACAATAACAAAAACTGAAATAAATAGTAAAAAATTATAAAACGTCTGCATAGTTGAGAGAAAGTATGTTTTATTTATTCGAAATTATAATATAGTAGAAATTATAATTATAATAACGTATCATAAATTATTATTATAAAAGTCTTTGAAATGCAATTTTCTTCGCATATTGTAATATAAATAATGTAAATCATATAATTTGCTTTTCAGGACGTGGAAAGAAGAAGATGCTAAAGAAAATCCTTCCTTTATTGCTCCTTGCCAAAGTGAAGCTCGGCGCACTCGCAACCCTCGCCTATTTCGCTCTTGCTCTTATTGCTAAGAAGGCCATTCTCGCTTCCTTAGTCTCCATTGCCATTTCTGCCTTTATTGGCCTTAGAGGACTGTGGGCTTCCAAGGGTGGAGCTCACGACAGCACTGGTTATAACAGTAACTGGGCTGCTGCAAGCAGTGCATCCAGTGGTTGGGCAGCTCCTAGTCTTTCTAGTGGATGGTCATCGGGTGGTGTTCCCAGCTGGGATGACTCTCACTCGGCTCACGCGGCTCAAAACCAAGCTTTTTCCGGATATCATCGCTAGAGAACAATCTTAAGCATGAGAAAATTATTACGAAATTGTTTAGCTTGTCTTCTTTCGCGAATTCATTAAAAAAACAAAAACAAAAACAAAAACAAAAAAAAGCAATAAAAATAAAAAAAAAAAAATAATGTGGTATCTTGGTACGAGGAAATTGGTTAAGGTATGACTAATACCTTAATAATTTGGTAAATGAAACTGATCGCCATGATATTAAAAAATTTAATCTTATACAGAGACTTATTGAGAATTTGAAAAATTGCAATTAAATAGAATTATCTTCGTATTTTTTGTCACATTAAGATACACTATGAAAACATGATATTGAATAATTATTATCTATTTTTCTGAGAAGCATCGGTATGATAGATCGGTAATACAAGAATAACGGTAACCAGCTTAAACAATATCTATTTCAATAGTTACAAGGGTTGTACTTTTTAAAGTGTTCGTATTGCATACATTAGATTTCGTATAAGTAGTAAGCATAATTTATAAATAATTCTCGAGATCATGTATGGGCTATTAGTGGAATTTTTGTTAAATAATTAATTAATTATTTTTACCGAAAGCCCATAATCAGATAATTAACGAACATTTTAAATTCATTGTAGACATCTCTGTTACATGCGTTAACTATTTATTAATATTATTTTCGATTTATTCGATTTATAGATTATTAATATTAATTTTAAATATATATTAAATATTTTATTTAATTACAAAAATACCATAATACCTATATTTTAATTATTGTGTCAGATCAGTATCATTTTATTTCAAGAGATTAGCGCGAATATGTGGTATTGATTGAATGGTGATCAAAGTACCAAGAAGAACTAGTAAAAGATCCACCATGAAGAGAGTGAAAATATTTATTCTTATCATTAATATTATTTTTATTATTATTTATCAGCCGAACGTCGAGCGCCGTACCGTTTTTAATGTACATATTTATAACGATCGCTCGTACATTATCCGTAAACTTATGGTAATAATCATAGTTATCTTATATTTATCTGATCATAATATATTCGACAGAATCTGCCTTTAATGTATCCATATTCATTATTAAATTTGACGACGTCAAGTAGTAATTCGAATATTTTTGTATTTTTTTTTTTTTTTATATTCACTTGCATACGAGATATAGTGGATTTGATAAATCAAACCGAGAGGCTAGTCGTTCGTTACCTTTGTCCACAATGTCAAACATTATATACCTCTAAATAATCGGGTGTTCAAATACACTTTGTTACAAAAAGTCTTTGATAAAGTTATTTTATTTTACCTTCCCATCACATAAAAATTCGTAATTATCCTTATAAGATTACATAAAATCGAAGAGTATCGTTTATATTTCAGTAAACGATGAAGTTTGTAGTAATAAATGATTTTTATATTAAATTTTATAAAATTGTAAACGTGGAAAAATATCTTAAATATTTTACAGTTAGGCTTGCATATAAAATAAACAGTTTAAGAGAATTAAACTCGAACAATATTTACAGAATTGTAATAAATGAAATTCGATGAATCATTATAGTTTTATTAAGATTATTATTATTATTATTATTGAAGTAATCGAATGCTTATCGAATAACAATCATGCACAGTGTGTATAGACTTCAGTAATAACAAAAGTACATGTACGAGCGAAAAAAGGAGGACAAAGCCGAAAAAAGTAATGGTAGAAAGGACAAGCACGAGGCGAGAAACGTGTCTGCTGGACCACACAAAATTTCACTCGCTGTCACGTCGACTGGTTTCGAGTAAAATGTAAAGGCGGGATTAAGCGACGACACGCACATATAATGGAACGTAACATGCAAACACACAATTGCCCATTTTCTCTAACTTGCGTGAATAGTTTACCAAGGAGTTTAGCTGCACACACACACACACACACACACACACGTGTGTGTGTGTGTGTAGGGACTGATAAAACAAGATCCATAACATTATAAAGTAAACCGTTCGCTTTAGTTGTAATTGCACTTACTTTCATTACATTGGAACATGCTTCAAAGGATTCATGGCCGTGTACATGTAGATTACCGTATTTTCTGTGAAAACGGACACCTCGATACATCACCTATGACTTTTGCAATGAGTATAGTATCAAAAAATTCCTGGTATCAACTTTGTAAAAAATTCTACAAGTTTTTGAAGTAATAAAAATATAATTAATTCAGCATGAATTCAATCGAATTATTAGTATTACGGCAAATCAGAATGCATGGGAAAACTTTATTGTATAGGAGGTCAACCAATTTCATATCAAGCACACTTTAACGGTTATTTATTGTAGAATTTATAGTTTTAATTTGAAATCCAATATTATTGCTATTTATTAAGAAATATATTTTGTTTTAATCAAGATACAACTAAAATTGCTAATCAGTAAGTACTAATTGGAAATATAACAAACAATTATTCAACTTTTGGTGTGAGTATTTTAAATTCTTTCAGTATAGACGTTGAAAATTAATTCATATATAATTCTGATATTGTAAGAAATCTGAATAGAAAAAGTTTTAACATTCATAACGATTTTTATTGTTATTAAAATTAAAATTAATTATTGACTGATTATAAAAAAAATTGTATATGTAATATATTAATAAAAAATTATTTATAAAGGTTTTAAAGAATTCTTTACCTTTTCTAGACAAAAAAAAAATTGTTTGTATAATGTTTTAAAGAATTTTTTGCCTCTTGTAGAGTAATAAAAGAAATTTATTTATGTTTTGAAAAATTATTTACCTTTTCTAGACGAATCACAAAAATTTATTTTACATCTGTCAATATTAATGAAATTAATTTTAATTTTAATTTTAATTTTAACTTTAATTTTCTATAACAAAGTCTTGTAATAATAAAATTTTATTGATCTGCAATATAGTTGTACACAATTTTCTAACATTTAAAAGTTTAAAGAATTTAAAATTATTGATTATTAAGTTTAATCATTAATAATAAATTTTGTGTGAATAAAATTTTTTTTCTAAATCTCATATTACTAAGATTCAAATTATTTATATATCCTCATTAAATGCAAATTTATATTATTTTCTAATCAATTCCGGGGCAGTTTTACAGAAAATTTATTTTTCGGTGTTTGCCGTTAATTTGTTACTTATTATTTTTTACAGTAATATTTAGAATAAATAACAATAAATCTTTAATTTATTTAAATAGTTGATCTTCATATTATGTTCAAATAATCTTATTTTGTATTAATTTAACAATTATATTATTAGTGAATACAGTATTATTAATATAACATAATTTCGTTTAAATTAATTAAAACGTTGAATATTGTATTCCGAATATTAATGTTCCGACTGGTATGTAAAGATATTCTATATAGTACATATATATATAAACTTATTTCGGGAATAAAATTCTGGAATTAATCATAGATTATGAAGCGTAATTGTTAAAAATTAAATTAATCCTCGTATTGTTAACTGTAGAAAAATATTTTAGACCAATTATTTCTTGGTAGTATAAGTAAAATAGGTATAATCAAGTTAGAAATATGATTAAATTGGATAATTAATATATCATAATTAAAATAAAAATACAGATTACTACCTTGTTGACAAGACGAAAATACTATTAAAATTTATTATAAATTACTATTGTAGTTTATATTTATTTACGCTTTTTTCTCGTACAAGTTATCGTAATAATAAAAGCACAACTCTTTAGAAATAATATTTCTATCTTGTATATTAATATACATTTTTTAAATCCATGCGAATAAAATAATTTATATTCTCTACTTCCTTCCTTGGTTACTAAACTAAAAAAGTTACTGATCATAAAAGTAGGACTGTTTTGGTTTAATAATATATTAATTATAATTTAATAATATAATATATCAATTATTAATTTATTTTATATTAATAATTTTTATGGTTAATCGGTCATCTCCGCTCCATTACATACAATATAAATTATTAATTAACAAGTATTCATATAAAAAGTAAAATTCAACATTAAAGTTTTCAATTAAAAATTCATCCCATAAAATGGTAATTGATATTTTAATAATTATTATATTGTGCATTATTTATAAATTTATTTATTCTTGAATACTTTTTCAAAATGTTGAGAAAAAAGTTCTTATATCAATGCTACCCCTTGTTCCGGCTTAAAAAGGTAAAAAATTATATGAAATGGCGACACTTTTTTATTTTGGTATTATTACTCTCCGCGCGAAGAAAGCAATTTTCGCAGCTTCTATGACAATTTTTATATCATCCTTTTTTGGTGTTCTTGTAATTTTATGTATAAAGACCAATAGATGTGACATTGCATTCTTTGTTGTCAATTGGGATTGGGCATTTGGTAGTGATTGTTGACCTGATTGTTTAGCACCTATCGCTAGTTTCGCGGTGGTTGGTCCTGTAAAGCAGTAATTATATCTATAAAAATTACTGGTAATCAGGTGAATTTAATAGGAAGACAATTAAATTCATTTAATAAAGATAATACAAAAAATCATTAAATAATTAAAAATCAAAACATTAAAGCTGGTGCTAAAATTTGTTATATAATACGTAGCAAAATCATTTATATACAATCATTGTTGAATCATTGAGATTTGATATTAAAATATTTTTATAAAACTTGACTAAATTTGACAAAGGATATAACTATTTTTTATAATTTGAATTGATTAGTTAGATAAACAAATTTCATTCAACATAATTGTATGGAAAGTTATGTGGGTTATAGTTATAAAATAATGAACTATATTTATAATGTATTTAAAAATCTCTATTCTCATGGAAATTATTTATTTCGATTGACAAAAATATAATATAGCTTATGAACAAATTATTATAAATATATATCAAACTATTATCAAATAGAATTTTATTATTAGCAGTATTTATCATATATGGTATTTATATAAATAGACTTGTAATATTATGTCAATTATAATTTTATATTTCATTTTATGGATATGAATAAGGATTTTATTTTTACGTTTATTCCATAATTAATGTTTTGCTTTATAGTTATTATTATGTACTAGTTAGAAAGTAATACTCAAAATATAACTGTTATTATCAATTATATATT